AAAATGAAGATCGTTATAATCAAGGCGAATTTAATTTAAAGTTTCGCGGCAAAGCGCCCTCGTGTATATGCACACACCCCCACCCATACACACAGATATATATACGCACGTACACACAAGCCGCTGTGGGTATCGTCATCAGTATTACACGCGAGAGCGTCAAGAAACACGCAAAGCGAAAACTACGAGATACAAGCTGCGTATGACCAAAGTACAAAGGATCGTGATGTATATATATATATATATATACGGAGAAGACCCTATTTGAGTGTCAATTTACATTCAAGCTTGTGTGTTACGCCAACACAGCTGCCACTGCTGCATCTATGTCTTCTGTCTCAAGCGTATTACGTATAGGTATACAATCAACCCATGCGTATAGCGACAATTTGGCGCGTGATGCAAGAAACGTTTTGGGTATACGGCAAAAGTATATTATATACATAAAAAACGTTTCCTTTTTTTTTATAAGCAGGACCAGAAAAATCAAGTCGGTGCAGAGGAAACTCTACCGGCGCAAGCTGAGCAGCTTAATCTGGAATTGACACTTGCCTTTTCTGGTTAAAAATCGAATTTACAGTCGGTGAAAAGTGGATGTGAAATGTTTCGCTGCTCGTAATCCTACACCATTAACAAAGTTAATATCAAATTTAATTAACAGTTCAATTGAGCAAATAAAGAAATATGACTATGAAATTTCCACTCGTGAGCAGAGCAATTAAAACGCGAGCTACAACTTTGTCCAAAAAATAATAATGTGTCAACGAACGAGGAGTCGAGAGAACTATGCTAAAAACAAATTAGTGTAAGTTTGAAATAAAAAACTTTTTAATACCCGAACACGCACGTACTTGTGCATAGCAATTTTAAAATATTTATAAAAGTATACCTGTACATACGATGTCCGCGAATACGACGCTTGAATAGCGAGCACACAGTGACGTTATTCATTCGCACGTGTACTTAATGTATTAACGACTAAATGATTATATTTTCAATTTATATGAATAGAAAAAAAAGTTTGTGCTCGGTCTCCTCGTTATGTTTAATTTATAAATATTTCTGAAGCCCGCGCGCATTTTTTTGAATTCAATTCAAAGTACGACTCTGCGTGATGTTGACTCTATAAACGCGTGAATGAATGACAAAAGTAGTATGGAAAATGTATAAATATTCCCACTTTAAAAAAAGCCATGGATGAAAAAGTGTCAGTACCTTTCCGGCCTTCTTATTGGTTGTTGAATTTGTAGGCTAAGGCCTGTGTAATGTGTACTGCTAATAACGACGCGAAATTTGAATTTCAATACATCGTATAAGTACATCGAGTTTCTACTATTATTAGCGAAAAGAAGTATAGTATCACAGTTGTCCGATAGATGACTCGTTCTGGTTCCCAAACACAAAATAAGAAATATCGGCATTTACATAGGAGGAGAAAGAGTCGCTGTTATACTCTGTGTGTCCCTGTTCACTATTTTTTCTTTATTATTTCACAGTTTCACTTCTGAATCAGATTTTTACAAAAAAAAATTATCAAGAAAGAAAAAGGAGCTAAAGATAGAAAATAGGTATAGACAAAGATGGCGAAAGTTACCAAAGAAAATATAAACGAAGCCAGTGCGAAGAGATGGATGGAGGGTGAGGTGGATACAGTGTGACGCGCACATTGTTAAGAAGTGAGGTAAACGAACCTCTTGAAAAATGTTTCGATACTGTGTCAAGCACGCGGTTTTTTCCTCTTTCTCTCTTTCTACCCTCGACCTCTTCTCTCATTTCTTCTTCAAAACAGCTGCTGCTCCTACTTATGATTTAACATATAGCTTGATTATCACCCTCTATCTGGCTTTGTACTGCACGTGCTGCATTGATATTAATATGACCCTCTGTTCTATTTTCGAAGTTTATACATCGTTGATGATCTCTGCCCGTCTTGGCTCGATCGTATTTTCCATTGTTATCATTTTAATTATTATCATAGCAATTTTTAGAAAAAATTTGCGCCTAACCGTATAATGTGCGGAAAATTGAATTTTAAAAAACAAAAATAACGTTTGAATTCAATGGAAAAAACTAGTGAATAACCCACACGCGCGCGCGCAATATATTTGAAAAGTTGTCGATAATGCACTCTGCGTTTGGCTTAGTTTTTTCTTGCAAATCTTTATTAAAACGTCCGTCAGAAGCTAAGACAAGCGAGCATTGTAACATCGTATTGTTATCTTGTGTAAAATGCAACGTTGCAAGAAAACATCATATTTTCAGGGCGAACGCATTCCGACGCTCTATCAAAAAGTTTTCGCTCGCTGATATCCGGTACACAAAGTACGGAAAACAACAAAATCAATATAGATACGTCGTATTTAGTTTTGCGTCTGCACTAATAAACGCACGTCTCTTTCGTGAAATAGATTACTTCATCTTTTTCTCGACTAGTCACAGTAATTTTGGTGAAATATTTTGGAATGTTTTCAAATTTCTTTCGGTAGAACAAAAAATAGGAACCGTATTGTAAGTTGTAAAACATATAGTACTGTTTACACCATTTTCTTTCGCATAAATGCTAACTTAGTATCAAATTACCACAAATAAAACTATTGCAAAACTTTTAGACAATTTCACGGGTGTTTTTTACGACATCAATTCACTTTCAGTATTAAACGCACTTTATGAAGTTTTACTTCGCACAAAGAATTCAAATACAGATTGAGTTTCAAAAATATACAAAAATTGAAATATTTCGCATGCCGAATACATTTATTAACTTTTATTAAAGTTTACAGAAAGTAAATCATAAATATTTCCATAAATTGTTGTAAGCTCTTAATCTTTGAATAAAACGGCGCGTGAGAAAGAAAATAATTTTTTTTCATGCAACATCCGTGTAGTGAAACGAACCTGTCTACTGGATGAAACGTAATTTTCATCATCCATCAATGCTGCTGCATGAAACTCGTGATTACTTAGTATATGCAACAGCAACATGTTTTCTGCTCGTTAAAATATGTAATTGTAGGCTACTGCAGCAAAAAGAGGCCTATGTAACATAAGAAGCCGGACAGTAAAAACTTATACGAATGCCCGCCGTAGCATGTAAGAGGCAAAAAGAAAGGAAGAGTTCAGAGGCCGTCCTATTGCCACCATTTGCATTAATGCGCTGGTCTTCGAACTGTTCCACATAATCCGGCGCAGTTTTATGTACGAATATTATCGTTGTTCGAGCTTTTTTATTTTACCCTTTTTTCCTCTCGGCAACAACAACGAGATAACTTTCATCAACAAATTTTTGTTGTTGTTGTTGTTGTTGTTTTTATTCGTTCTCGTTCCCATGTGAGCGCACGCACACACAGACGCCAGGCACGCAATTTGTGTAATTATGTTTACGAGTAAATATGCACATAATAATCGAGGTCAAATAGAGATAATGGAATTTTTTTGAAAATGAAAACCTTTTGCATCGTAGCCATAATACGCGCGTTCACTTGCCCAGCGATTTATGGCTTTCTCTCTTACTCTCGGTTACACTCGCGCGATATATACAATTTTGCACTCACACTCGTACTACGCTGTATAGAGAGGCAGCTCTCGCATGCTCGACGCGGCGCGAGAGAGCGCCGCGCGCCACCGCGACCTGTGCTCACAATATAAACAGTAAAAACAATGCAATTTTCCGCTCGGAGTGAGGTAAACATTTCGCTCTCATTCACTGCTTTAAAATGCATAGATTTTCCTTCTTTGCGGGGTAGTATAGAATATAAAAAGTGTGCGCGCGCGCGCTTCGAAATGAACGGAAAAGTTCCCTATTCACGCGATCGACCAATTTTTTTTTTCACTTTTTTCATGCCCGTATATATAAAAACATGACTACTGGGAGTGAAGTTTGTACGCGCGTAATCAACGAGAGAGTTTATAAGCTGAAAATAGAACGCGTTATTTTGCGGAATGATGAAGAGAAATTATAATGTTTGTGTGTGAACGTGTGTATAAGCGAGTGTGTATGAGTCTACATTTTCAATGGAAACAATTCCTTATATTGTTTACTAGTACTGGTGTCTCACACAATCGCAGTAAATCATATCAAGAGCAATAGGTCACAAATAAGTGTAATACTGCACTTTTATCATGTACATGAAATTGTAAAATATTTAAACATAATCTTTTATTCCGTGATAGTACAATAATTCATATTGAAAGTCGATTGATTGAGCAGTATTAAATATGCTTCATTGATTACAGCGTGTTGTAGGATTTTTAAACAATAATACCATTGTTAAAGCAATATGTATATGACCCCATTCAGACAAGAAAAGCATTTGTTGCATGACGCATGAGATTTACTGTACAGTTTCATGAACAAATTTTCTTTTATTTTTAATATTCTTTTATCAGCAAACAATATAAAATTTCTCAAAATTTTAATAATTGTCACACCATGAAGTATAGTTAAATTAGGGGTTTTGATGAGTTGAGTGTCCCTTGACAAAATGTATGATAATATTTGCAGTAACAGTAAAATTGTAAAATTACAATAAAAAGCAGAACACTTAAGTTGCATTGGAATGCCATCATCCCAGTACCCATTAACTCAACTGTTATTATAGTTAAGGCAGTGATCATCTCTTAAGAAAAATAAAAAAAATAAATAAAAATATCAAATGCATCTCATTCATATCAGCTATAATAGTAAATATAATCTATTTACCACTAATAGCATACTTACCCTGACACGTCCCAAAATTTTACATTTCTCTCATTAATTCCAAACAAAATAAAAATTTTAATCATAGCTTAAAAGCCATAAGACCTAAATGAATTACAACGTAAGCAAGGGCGTATGTAGGGGGTAAATAACTATGTATATCGCGCTCATATCAGTTGCAGCAGCATTGGCAGTTCTTCTTTATCTTCATATACAGATATCTGCATTTATCTCTCGCGAACGAGTGGTTAAAAAAAAATCAAAGCATAATATATACGTTTATCTATTATATATATGCACTCACCGCAATGCAGAGGCTGGCTGTATGGCTGGCGGGCTCTATATATAGGATGCGTGCACAGCCGCAGGGATTCCTTTGGCTCCTCGACGACGACGTTGTTGAGGCCACTACTACGATGAGTTCCGAGTTCGACGATCGTAATATCGAACTTATTCGTTACGCTTGGCATGTAAACACGAGCACGTCACTTCTCTTTCTCTATCTTTCTCGCTCTCTCTCTCTTTAGTAGGTATAAACACAGGCACACATTCGTACACGCGCGTATACACGGACACGGCCTCACGATGCAGGCAACAATTGACACACGATGTTTAGAGTATAATACGAGAGCTTCGAGACACACCACAAGCACAAACGCCACGCGCTCCACTCGATGTAGACAGACAGGCAGCAGCAGCAGAAAACGGAGCAGAGCCTGCTGCACGATCGGAGAGGTTATTCACACCGTGCCCTAGGCAGTCTGGGTGCACTGGGCAGATATATAGGAGGCAGGCGATGCAAGAGGCGCACTATCGTCCCGGTCGAAGAATCCGTTGGAACGCGAGTTAAACACCAGGACGCTGCGTCGTGCACGTCCTTTTTTTGTCAACTCTCTCGTTGCAGCGCAGGGCCAGGGCAGAGAGCTCGATGATATAAGGGTGGTGCGGTGGTGGCGGTGCACGGCGCTCGCGCTCGGCGGGGATCCGGGGCTGCTGGAGAGAGAAAATGTCGCAGGATATCTGCGTGTTCTCCGATGCGCTGTTTATTCGCAGATAACTGACGTTTATTAGGATGAATTGTGTTTACGGTGCGGCGACAGCGACGACGACGACGGCGGCCAGTGGCTTCTCGCGAAAACTCCCGACCCGACGAGCGATTATACACCGAGAAAACCGCGTGTGTGGGTGTGTGCGCTGTATACACGGTCACTTTGCTGCTGCATGTATACACAATAATAATAATACGTACATGTGCAGGCACTGCTGCTGCTGCTGCTGCTGCTGCTGCTGCCAGGAATTGCAATGCAATTTCAGCGACATCTGACGCCGCAGTCGAGAGAGATCGCGCTGTGCCGTGTGCAGTGCATTGCCCTCGCGTACATACACTACGCAACGATCGCGCCAGATATCAGGCGGCGTTCGGAGAATTCGAACATCCCTTCGTTTTTTCGTTGAGAATTCGAACGCGCGGGCGCACTCGCACGCGGAAGGGGAGGAGGGAAGGGAAACGGCCAAAAACGAATGCCAACGCATCGCGTGTTCTTTTTTATTTATAAATTTTTCAAATACTTTATTTCGCAGTGTTTAGAATACTATTATACAATAACACATAAACTGTTTTAATTACACAAAATAACTTTTTTTGTTTGTTTGTTTGTTTGTTTCGTAACGTAATTAATGTATTAGATCAATAATTGAAATATTTATAGAATATCTAGGTATTTATTCATATGCTATTCGAAGAATACAAACTCTATTATAGATAGATAAAAACAAAAGACGTGTCTATTGTCGGTAATTGTTTTTGAAAAACTGGCGAATTTCGATTTAACGGTTCATACACGAAGCAGTGCTTGTTAATAATATATTTTCAAAGTCACTTATTGTTTTTTTCTTTCGTGTTACAATCAATGCTTGCGCAATAAAAAAGTAAGAAAAATCTTGTATTTGCTGGTCACAACTTTCCCATGGTAAATTGTTGCATGCCGCCCTTATACTTTATAATAATATGTCATATATCAAAGGCTGATCACAACGAAAATGTAAAAGCATTTCACACGTCGTTGACGTCGTCATCATCATCGTTACTATATACTGTATATATTATGTACAAACTTTGTGTTGAAAATTACACCGAGAATATATTTCCGTCAATATATGAACCACGCGCAGTTTTGTTGCATTTATTAAGTATTTTATCGTACTTTTATAATTATTTTTTTATGAAAAAGCTTATTCGATCGGATAAAGGCACACACTTCCGCAGCGCGGGTTTTTCTTTCTATTACAATAAAGAGGTGTAATTATACGTTATAAAATTTTACGGGAACTTTTCTTTTGCAACTCATCTTGTATATAAACTCCCAAATTAACACTGCTCAATATACTATATAAATTTTTAAAGTGTTTTTTTCAAACAAAACGAAATAAAACCATGCCTATCACTGCAATTCAACGAGGTTTAAATAAAATTAAAAGGTACACCGTATTGAATATAATTGACACGCCACAATACAGGCATAACTTTTTAATTTTTAATGCTAATTTTATCAAATATACCTATTAATTTTTAAAATGGCAAATGCTCTACTACTTCAAAAATGTTTAAAATTATTTCATTTACAAATTCATTTAATAAAAAACAATAAGACAGCGTAAGATATTTAATATTAAAATGCCTAACTCTGCTCAGGTCTATTACATCGGCCAATATCGTTGTCATTCTAATACCATTATTTTAGAGTTAGCAGCCAATTGGAGAATTTCATTTATAAGAACTACTTTGAATTGCGTATTTTCGGTATTGTTCGATCGCTATCAATTCGTAATGAATCAAGTTTTAATACTACCAGTTTTAACAATTTTCAAGCGATTATTGGTTTAAAACGACTTTAAATATACTTTTTTAACCAGTAATACGCCGTGAGGCATTTAAAAATTTATTTTTTAATAAGTTTAACTGTTAGAGATACTTTTTTTTCATTAAGACGTCATTTTTTGTTATCTTTCCTTAAAAATCACTTCTTGAATTCGGTCATCAAGAAAATAATGTTTGTCGATGTACAACGGAACTCTGTGAGGGATTGAAAATATACTTCATTACATAAGTCTATTGTAAAGAATTTTAATTTAAAATAAAAGAAAATAATTAAATATTTTAAGATAAAGGACATTAGTAACCTATAAAGTGTATACAATAAAGTCGATTAACAATTACACGACGAGCAATAACATACTTAAAAATCTAAGAGAGTTCGTTTTCATTCTTAACAATTTAGTTATTAATAACATATATTGAAAACTTAAAGAAATTGCATTAAAAGCATTAAATATATTTGTTTGTGTGTATGTGTGATTATGTCCTCGACGTTACGTAACAGAACTATAACTTACGAGGCGCTAAAGTCGTCGCGAATAAAGAACAAAAAAAACTTGATAAATGGAATATCATAGTCAACTAGAGAAATTCTTTTGTAATACAAAAATATGTACAATTATTTTTCATTATTCAATAGATCTATGAAGCACTTTTATATTCAATATTAGACAATATATCACTTGCAATTTTCTTTTTCATTCATGTATTCAATATTTAACGATTATCTTTCTTGGTCACTAATTTCTTTTGTATGTCTCATGATCGTTAACTTTCATGCTTAAAAACATTCAGTTATACGTTAAGTCGATTATCAAGTTTTGATATTTAAGACGCACAATCATCAAATATCTTCGTCGTCATCGCTATTCGCGAGTCTATATTTAAATGCAATTTGTAAGGTTATTCTTCACCAGAATCGGAATTTGCACAAGTTTACTAATCACTGACAGCTGCTCAAACAGTTTAACCTCTGCCGTTTTCACATAATTAATACTAATTAATATGCACGCATTACAGTAACTTTTTCTTTCAATTGATCAGATTTTACATTATCTATAATGCGCATGATTTTGAGTTTTTATCTGTTAATCAACTGCTTTTCACAGAATAAACGTAAAATAATATAACAGAAATAGAAAAAAAATAAAATAAATTAGCTTCTACTCTGCATATACGATTACATATATACATTATATTACAGGTATCATCATAAAAAAAGGAATCTCGCGCTAATCCACCCCTGCAAATCCTTGCGAGCCTTCAATTGCCTTGATAAGTTTTTCTCTCAATTGCGGGTAACTATCATAAGGCGGTAGATCAATGCGGTTAAAGCTGAAAATATTTAAAAAGTCCATGTTAGTACATGCGCATTTTATAAGAACGTTTTAAAAGCTCGTTTTCTTAAAGTAATATACACTGTATATTGTGGGAATGACTATAAAATTAAAAACAAGCAGTTAATAAATTATTGAAAAATCTTACCAAGTATGAGCTCTTGGGTAATTGTCTGGTGTGCCCCATTTTTCAATTGTAAACAGTTGTGGTCCATTACTACCATACAACTCCTTAAAACCATTCATTGGTACCCTCGATGTGCCCGTGACAAATTGTAATAATCTAGATCGCATTTCGTTATTGAATGACAATACTACTCTCCAGAACCATTGGACGGTTATATGATTGGGGTGATAATCGCCTTTGTAAAGCGTATTTGCCTTCCAATCCTTGACGTCAATGTGCTGAATACCACACATGAGGAGTTCAAGTTCATTTTCATCGAAAATCTTCACAAGTGTCAGTGGCACCAAAGCATTGAATCCTTCTAAAAAGGCATTCATTTGCTCTTGGACCCTAGACACAAAGCGCCACTGAATCACCAGTTGGATGTACTCATCCTTATTTTCATTGGTCACTGGAATATTTGCTCCGTTAGTCTTGAGTTCACGTTGTGATGTATGGCCGAACGAATCTTCGTCGACACAGAATGTCAGTTCGAGTTCGCTTGGATCATTTTCTTTAATCCAAAGTAACGAGTTATAATACTCGGAGTCCACGCTCTCCATGTCCTTCAAGTCGATGGTCTTACTGAGCATCATTTTATAAAATGGTCGGATGAAAAAGGCTGTAAAAAAAAATTCATGGATAAGCGAGATATTCAACTAATAAAAGTCGTGAGCATTAAAAATAAAACAACCATCTAAAAGTTTTCCATGGTACACAGCCATGCCTGCAATGCGTCCAATAAACTTGAAATAATTCAAATGTTCTTCATTGCACACACCCGAAAATGGATTAATTTGCAATGTATAGTTATCCCTGAAATAAAATTACAAGCAATTGAATAATTTAAATTAATCACAATGAATAAAAAATAAATTCAAGTACTCACATTGCTGAATATTCAAATAGACCATAATATGGGTTGAACATTTCTTTCGACAACAAAAAGAACCACTCACGAGCAAGGCCACCGTAATCAAGACCCACTTCTCCTTCAAATTCAATCCAAAGTTTAGTTTTTAGAATTTCAACCCTATTCACAGAACTTATAATACGATATGAATCTTCCAGTATATTATTGCGTCCGACTTTAATTTCAAATTTGTTTGGTACGTTCGTCTGAAATGATTCACAAATTGATTAGATTAGTGTAATTTTAATAACCTTATCTAAGTTGTTCATATAGACAAAAAAAAAGATATGACGTAAACTTTGCTTACTGGTTTTCTCAGTTGAGATTTGAGATACTCATATTTGCGCTTGTAGTCTCTCGAGTAAGGAACAGCCTGAAATTATGAATTATTAAGTGATTAGTATAGCTTTAAAAGAAAACTTACAAAAAAGAACGACTAAATAGTTACTCACCGGTCCAGCAATATTTGGATTTTGCAAACGGGGATCTTCCCATTGCGTGGTCCTTGTATCTGTAACAATGAAAAAATTGACGAATAGAAAAGAAGAAAAACCGAAAGATAAATTACTCAGCTAATAAAACTCACTGTGATCGATGAAAAATATTCTTCCATCCGTATGAAGTCTTTCTTCCCAACCCTCAGGCAATGGGCCAACCGAATCGATATCGTTTCGTGGTTGTACGGTTGAGGGCACAGCGAGGGCACAAGGTATAGAACTCGGTCGTCCAGTGCGTGGATCGACCCATGTCGTCGCGCGTTCGTTGTGATCAATGAAAAACACACGGCCATTCGGTGCAGTTTGGATACTCCATCCCGCTGGTAATCCTTCACCGTTTATTTGCCTATTATTATCGTCGCGCTATAGAAAAACAAGTTTTACGTATATTTTTAAGAATTTTTTCAATAAAGTGAATGCAATGGAAAGTGAATCAATTTACCTGTACAGAAGGTCGCCTTGAATCTGTCGTTGGGCTGTCCGTATTATCGTCAGTCTAAAATAAAAAAATAATCAAATTATTTCAACGATGCGGCACTGATACGATGTATTTGTATAAATAAAATATCAACATCACTTGTTTATAGATAAAATACCAGTTGTTAATAATAATATACGTTTTTCTAAGGAACAAAATTTACTTGCTTTGTATATAAGTGTGAATGAAAGAATAATAAAAAAATAAATGTCTCAAAATTATTAAAAAATTCGAAAACACGATCATAATTGCTAAGAAAAAAAATGTGAAAAAATTTAGTACCTGGTTCTCAAGATCCGCTCTATTTACAGGATTGTTCAATGTATTAATAGACACCCTTTGCTCTGTTTCAATATTTTCGACTCGAGCAGCGTCATCATCCTTATATACAAATATAAAACATGCACAAAATTCTACATACCACGAGCTCATATACAAAAAATATTGTTTGTGTTATGAAAGTTATTTAGAATTTGTTATGACAAACTTCAAGCAGCTGTTAGATAATAATAAAAAAAGAAATGTGTCCAAAAAAAGCGACACAGTTAATCCTTGAGTGATTAGTAAACTCCGACACTAGTGTAAATCATTCCAAATAGTGTTAGAATGTTATCTTACCGGTGTAACATGAACATTAGCGAGACGTTCTGCCGTCCTATCAACCGTTTCATCTGCACTAATGTGATAACGTCGTTGAAATTCTGTTGCTGCTGTATCCAAGTTTCGTTGTTCTTGAGTTACACCAAGTGGTACATTATTTCTATAAAGTAAATAATTTTTTTATTTTTCCTGTTTTTTTTTTCTCATGAATAGTAAGAAATATTTAGTTGACTTACGTAGCTGTAGGTCGCTCCCACTGCGTAAAACGGGCTACATGATTAACATAATAAGTTCTCCCATTAGCATCTTGCCTTTCTTCCCAACCTTCTGGCAAGGGACCTAGTGCTGATAATTCAGCTGATTGCTCTTCAGGTGTTTCTAAAGTTGGTGATGGTTGATCCAATAATTCCCATCCCCCAGAATCTGAGGGATCTTCATTATCACCACTATCAATGGCACCATTCGAGTCTGATATGTAAGCATGATATAGTTCTAGGGTACCCTTAACCTTTGATCTCTGACTATTGCTACAAAATTTCATCATAAATTGTAAATCATGAAAACACTAATAAGTCAATAAGAATTGTTGTTTGCTATAGTACTTACTTTCTTGGGCGAAGAATGTACTGTTTAACTGGAATAGATCGACCATCTTGTTCTTTAGGCAAGTTTTGCAGTGATAGCTCAACCATTCCAAGGAAATCATCACGTGTTAATCTGTTCTCATCAAATACTTGTAGCACCAGTTTATGCTCATTAGGCTTTACCTAAAACAATAAATTATTTCAGTATTGAGAAATATTCTAGCTAACTACACAAGGTATTTGATATGTAATTAACTCACTCTAAAGATAAATTCTTCTTCCCACTTAGGATTAAGGGTTTTTTTCTTCGTTTTTGTAAGTACAGCATCCACAGTTTCATTGCCGTTGACATTGTTTAGCTCAATTCGAACATAAGGATCACTTGCTCCAAAAATATCTTTCCTGGCTAAATTATGACCAGCAACAACTCGCAACCTTAACCTGTTTGTAGCTTCTTCTCCCTGAAATACAAAATGAATCATAAATATGCAGCAGTTGATAAAAAAAAATAGCTATGGGTTCAGGTAATGCGGATTGTGCCATTTTATTATAAATTAAAAATAACGGACGAACGTCAAATGAAAAGTCACAGGTCTCTCTATATATCCGTGAAACAGAGTCTATAACTGGCGCATTATGTAGAGGTGATATCCGTCTATACGTGTTGTGTTATTGCATGGCAGCGGCAAATAATATAATTCATACAACTGTCAAAGTTCTTGTAGTATGCGCGAGGCACGTTATGTCTATGTGTGCGTGTGCGTGTGCACTCAATAATCGGCGCATGCACGAACAAAAGTGCAGCGGAGTATTGGAAGGATGTAATAAGATAGTTGCAATCTTTTTACAATATATAATGCGCGATAACGATCGACGATGCCTGCTGCTATGTATAGGAATAATAGAGTGTGCATAAAGAAAAAAAAAAGAGAAAAAAAGACGCAGAAAAATGAAAAAAAAAACGAACAATGCGTATATGTAGAGCTCTCTTTCTCTCAAGAGAGGTAGTGGTAGCTTTTGCACTTATAGGTGCAATAATGCACGGCACATAGAGACACGTATCGAATTCAGGATTTGCACGTTACGTGGTGGAATCGCTACATGTGTAGTGGTGTTGTGTACTATAATACGTACATCGTTTCCATCGGCAGCGACTGACGGATTGTAGCCGTAAACATTTTCTTCTGCCATTAACGCCTCGTTTTTTTCCCTGCCTCACACTCGGAGCACACACTACTCGCTCGCACAGTTCGTATCAATCCACTGTGGCGAGAAAAAAAATTGCTCGAAACGAAACGAGGCACTCTTGGTACACGCACTGACTGAAGTTCGTGTGTGTTTGCGAACAGAAGTTGGGAGTATGTGTGAGAGTATATATAATATGCGTGTGTGAGACAGTGTTGAGAAGTATAGAGAAAAAAAAGGAGCAGCGCGCAGAACTGAGCCCACAGCCACTTGCGTTTGTGTGTGTCGTCGCTCTCGTTGACTAACCGCGGGTTTTTTTTTTAATTTTTTTTGTAAATTATATGCGTCGCGAACTGCAAGATTATAATAGGCAGTACGACGACGACGACAGCAGGCAGCAGCAGCAGTGCAAGCAGCAGGGTGGTGCGCAGACACTCTCACTCATTTGCAGATTGCAGCTCTCGACGCTCGCACACCAACGCAGCAGTCAGACTGACTTTACACACTCCTGCTGTGCTGGCTGAGAGCCGCCTCGCGCGCGGCGAGTAACCTTGATAGTGTGTCGATATATTTTATATGTGTATATGTATACATGGATATATAGCCCTGTGCGTGTGAGAGTGTATACCCGCGACAGTTGAGAATGAGTCAGTGTGCGTTCAAAACGTTTGTATTGTATACATGTGTCATCAGTCATGTGTGTATGTTAGACACCTACTACTACTACTACTCTCGTGCGCTGCTGTTATAATATGCGTGCTCGTACATGGGAGCTTTTGCCTGCGTGGGTGTATATGTATGCCAAAAATCAACAGCTGCACACGGCGAAATCCATTGGGAAATTTTTTACGCGCTTTATTACTTATGAGTACATAAAACGTCGCTCTCTCATACATCAACGACTGTACATATAAGTACACAACAGTTTGCTCGGTTACGCCTGATGTATGAAACAAATATGTATTACGTTGGATCGCGGGGAAAGATAACGGCAAATTTTCTTCGTGCAAGCTTTTTTTCGCGTCAATTAATTATCATCGATAAGAGGACGGGAATATATAAATAAATAAATATAAAAAAAGAAAAATGAAAAAGAAAGGAGCAAGTAGCAGAAAAAACAACAGGTTTCCTGGCTGAGTGCACGAGTGGCAGATCCGCTCTTGCTTATACTCGTCGTGCGAGAGATATCTTTGTGTATAAGACTCGGGGGATACACGTAATGCAAGGGCTTCTCGGTATACATGCCTACGTGCATTTATTATTGGATGATTAGACGCTGCTTCGGGTGACGCATAAACTATCTCTTTCTCTCTCTTCCCAGCTCGCTCGCTTTCCCTCTGCGTCAATCTGTGTATTTGTGTGTGCGGCATTATTTATGAAATTTTTCGACCGATATTTGAGTCAGGCGGGCGGACGCGCCTCGTGCCTCGCGCGATCTTTTTCGCCACAGTTCAAAGAGAGACGAATATTCAATGAATACACGAAAGAATAAGAAAAAAAAAACCCAAAAGAGAAATAAAGGGGGAGGTAAAAACTGCCGCACGCCGACCGATGATCGTCCGAAGACGACGATCTGAGCGGCAGAAGCAGCAAGAGAGGCTCTTTTTTTTGCCGCAGTTGCGAGTTGACGACTCGTGAGACGCACACATTCAATAACCCCTTCTCATCATAATATATAAGTAAGTGTATAAGGATAAGAGAGTCGGGCGGGCGGGCAGGCGGGCGCGCGAGTGAAGTTAGGCCGAGCATGCGAATGTCATGCGTACGACAGGCGCTGCCGCAGTCTGAGACGTCGGAGCTCGGAGTCCACCGTCGTCGTCGTCGTCGTCGTCGTCGCGAGCGAGCGGCGCCTATCATTCATTCTCGCCAGCCACTCGAAGATAGACAAAGACAGCAAGAGCGACGGATATGACATGTTAGCACTGCTGCTGCTGCCTGAAGACGAGAGAGGTGTATATAATAATACAAAGATGGCGACTCGCGCCTATAGTGCATATCGCGGCCAACCACTATACACTATATGCATGTATACGACACATGCAGCAACTCACCGCGAGCCTATAGACACTACACTACAGCAATCCCCCTCCCACGAGTGCAACGTCGGAGTCGCGCGCGTTTTTCGCATCTGCCGCGCGGAGCAGCAGTACACACGACACACAGGTGCACTGCGCACACGGCAGCAGGTGACACTTCGCTCATCGCGTCGCAAATGCCATGCCATGTAGGTAAAAATAGCGCGAGTCCCCGCGAGGATGGGGCAAGAGTATAAGTATTCGAATTGCAGTAGACGACGCAACAATGTACATGGCGTTTATCACACACAACAGTGTGGGTCGTTGCGTCGCGATGAGCTACATACATGTGCATTACACGCGATTTCGTATTATGATTAACGCTGATACTCGTTGTTTATACGTACGGATCGCGCGCCGTCTGGTACATTCTCGCTCATCGCGTTACGTTTGCGCCGCGAGTTTTGAAAAAGAGTCAAATGCATCGCAGTGCAATAACCGCATGAGATACTCGATGTTTTTCTTCCATTTTTTTCTGTTTTTTTTTTATTTCGTCGATGAGGATCGATGTATTCACCGGTTGTTATGATGAGCGATTCAGCGACGTATATAGCTCGTTAATTCCTCTCGCAGGAATGGTTTTTTTCCTGTTTTACTTTCTTTTCATTTTTTTTTTCGATGTTTTTCCCCGCGTATGACACCGCTGTGTTTGCTTTTCTCACAGACACGCGTGTTTACACGCGTTGCATCGACAGAGTGTGTGGGTGCACTGGGTACGTGTTGCGTGCTACACGTGCGATCACAGTGCGCGACTATCGATATCGCGGGAGTTTTGATCTAGCGGGAAAACTGACAGGATCGTATGTCAACGCGGGAACGCGTGTTTGGATCATGATATACGGCATCTGTCGCATTTGATTTTTTTTTATTCTATCATTTCGATAAATTTTTTTTTCGCTTCGCACTGCGGCTCGGGAAAACGTTGATATAACATATTTCAGTGACTGTCCGACAGCTAAAAGCGACGTATGTAAACGCGTGTTTTGTAACTTTATCCAGTTGCTATATACAATTATTATTTCTCAATGCCATTGTAATTTGGTGGGATGCATCAGTTTTTATTTTTCAATTCGATTCATCGAATTCTTCTCTCAAGTCTTCACTTCGAGACTTTATATTTTTTTAATAAAATTCGGTGACTCATAATTTCTCCATAAAATTCGTATAAGCTTACACTTACGACTTTTGCACTCGGCTCTAGTGGATTAGAATCCCATTACGGGCGAATAATCGGGTCGCGACTCGAGCTTTTATACGACTTTGATAACGATACGGAACACACGAAGACGACGATCGTCGTCGTAATTATTAAAATCATGCCGCCGCCGCCGCAGCTACGCGCGTGGGCTAATAAATCGACGTTGAGGAAAATCGGTTACACAAGCGAATGATGAAAGAAGAAGGAAAATAAAGAAAGAAAGCAAAGAAAGAATAGAAATATACTTACTTCTTGCGGGGCATTGTAAGTATCGGAGACTCGGCTCGGTCGCCTATTGTGCGGATGGAGCAGCGGCGTTAAACGATGGTGATGAGTCCAAGAATGAGATCTTCGCCTCGGCTGAGGCGGCTCGACGCAGGCATACATCGGATAGGTCAAAGTACCAGGCATGATGATGTATATTAATTAATAAATATACACAGTACACACACGCGTACGTATGTGGGGTTATATGTATATATTTTGTTTGTCTCCTCTCTGGTGCTCTTCTTCTCTCTCTCTCTCTCTCCCCGTCAGCGCGACGCCTTATTATCGTCGTCGTGTATATAATACCGCTCGATTCTGCAAAGCTGCAATTGACACACGAGCATGATGTACAAACACAGTGCTGATCTTTGTGCAAAAAAAAAATTTCCAGTTACACTACATGTTGCGAATGCGATATATATGTGTATGATGCTATATAACGATCGCGCGGAAAGCTGACGCGCGAATGAGGCAAATTTCGGGTTCGCGACGACGACGACGATCGATAATTTTTTCTAGCTTAGATATATACAAAAAAAACTCTTTTATATGATTTTATATATTACGAATGCGCGACGTTGGCCAGTCCATTTATATTCTATGTATAAATGTATGTGTGTGATAAGGATCGAGTATATATATGGACTTCTTATGTATCTGTATGTATAATACGCGCAATGAAAAATATTAAATTTAGTATCGTTTCACGCAATCTCTCTTAGTCATTGCGCTCTCTTGGGTATAAACGATTATCTTTTTATCGCGCGGAGAGCCTTCGCGCTTCTCGCGCCCACCCGACGATGATCGTGTGCCTGTGATTATATTCTGTGCAACACTGGTGTGTGTGTCTCGCGCGTCGCGATCGTTCCGATCGATTTCGTCGTTGTGGACAACGAGAGATCTCGCGTATAAATAGCGGGCCAATAAACGTGAGAATTTAGAAAAAAAAAACCGAATTCTTGTTTTAAAAAAAAGTCAAAGATCGTATGTAATGGAATATTTGTCTCGCGCGAAACTGGGTCGTTTCTTCATAAATTTCTGAAATTACATATAAATGACCCCAGGTAGTTGCGCAAGGCTCGTAAAATTTACAATTGAAAGCGAATAAAAAATGAAAAAAATGTTTTAAATCTCGCGAGCCGATTATAATCGGACAAAGCTAGCTCTTGCCGCTGCTATATATACATATAAAAAAAAATCATCGACATCGTCTTCGTCGTCGTCGTCGACGCAGTCCTCATGCACATTGCACACGCGCGCATTTAATAATATACAATCTTTCTTGTGCGCGACGTCGCTCGCACTCGCAGGCAGTCGCACGAGAAGGCGGACGGGAGGAGCAAGGAGGGGACGCGAAACGATGATAATGCATGCACGACGCGAGAGAGAAGCAGCGCGTCTCATAAGTCGACGTCGTTGTCGTCTCTCGTCGACTCGATCGTGTAGTATCGTATAGGCTCACCTTGGCACGGCCTATGTCGGCCGCTGTTCTCCGTACAAGACGCAGCGGAGAGATGGGGCGGATGGATATTATGCGCGACCGCGAGGAGCCTTTTGCGCCGCGGCGAAGACGCTGCTGCGCTGACCAAGTGCAGCTGCTGTGGCCGCACTTTCCGCAAAGACCCCGTAAACGGCAGAGACGCGATGATTGCTGCGCTGCGGCTGCTGCTCCTCTCGTAGACGAGGCAGGCGACGCAAACGACGTTGACGAAATTGGCTCATCCCACACACCATGTGATGACACGGGTTGCCGTTACGAGCTCGCTTCGCTCTCTCCGACGATGACCTTTTCTTTGGCTTTGTCGCGACGATTTTCACGTGCTCGCGTGTGCTTGCACAGCCTTTTTTTATTCGATATATATTTGCTCGCGCTCCCTCGTGACTCGCGGATGCACCGCGGACGATCGCGTTTAAAAAGTATAAGATATAGCTGTATATTTTATCGAAAAAAAAGCACTCGACGTCGATTAAAAACGCGTTTACGACGATAGCAGTGGCATTCAATCGAGGCGCCAGCACACATGACACGCGCACTCACATAAGCCACGATCACACACTTTATACCAATTATTATACACGCACTCGCGCACGATGTGTATACACTACTGCTGGGTATCTGCCCAAATTTTTCAACACGAACCGATGTTGACGGCTGAAATCGGAGCCCGGAGAGCAGCGCACTTCGCCTAATACGTATTATGTAGATATTCGAGCGCGCACACTTCAAGCACGTATAGGTATAGATGTATCCAATTGATGAGTACGTAGAAAAAAAGCCAAGTATAACGTGATTCGATACGATCGTAACGTTGCGACGGCTAGCTATTGCGGCTGTGTATAGAGAGCTTCTAACGACGAAAATGCGTACGATTCATTGGCGCGTCAACATATAAAGACGAAAAAAAATAGATAAACGAGAAAAAAATCCCACTTTTTGACACTACACCTAACACCACCAACGTTACGTGTGTCCAAGAATGTAACGCGTGCTTATGTATATGTATTGTATAGTAGTACGAATCGTCGAACACAACGCGTGCGTAATATGGCACTCTCGAACGTCCGAGTGACGACTTGTTGCTTGTGGCTCTCTTTTGACGCGCTTCGACGCTGCCTTACGTGTGTGCCGTGTGTGTGTGTGTGTGTATGTGGTATTATCGTCGTAACGCGCTCTCCGTGGCCTATAGTCAGGAAAATTCGGAGGAATGAGAAAATACGAAAGAGATAGATGATCTCAGATAAGGCGGAAAAAGAGAGAGAAGGAAATCGATCGATGGATCCGCAAGTCCGACGGAGCCGATTATCATGTATCGAGGCTTGAGCCGCGCGCTAGAAATGAGAAAACAGCGGTGGCGAGGAGGCGGACAGCCAAAGGAGAAAGAGGAGATGGAGGAGGAGGAAAGGAAAAAAAATCAGAGCGCGTCTATGTATGACGAGCGTATTATACTTGCGTGTGCACTCACGCGCTCGTGTGTATTTATTAACTGCGCAAGTGTGTGCGTGTGTTTGTACATATCTGAAGTGTCGAGAGCGAGTGAACCCAACCGACGAGATAAGATGCTGAACGTCTTTCAATCACAAGGCGATAAAGAATCGCGGCTACGTTTTCGTTTCGTTTTCTCTATATCCGCTGCGAATCTGCCGTGTCCATTTCTATACGATTGTGTGTGCGCAGAGTAAATATTATGAGATGATTATGGGAGCATGAGAGAGAGCACATGAATAGCTCCAAAATTGATATGTCACGCAAAAAAAACATTTACACTCAATTATTCGATTGCTTGAATTTTAATTTCGAAATCAAAATCAATGTTACACATTTAATTCAGGCGTTGGATTACATTGGTGACGTGAAAACAATTGAAACGAATAATTTTCACGAATTTAAAACTTATTACACAAGTTCAAAACATAAGTGCAAACTACAACGTACACGTTGAGAAATAACAATAAAAAATCACACTCAAAGAAAAGAAAGAAAAACGAGACTACTTTTTCAGAATTAATTTGACAGATTTCCTTCAACACTTTTATTTCATCAATAGATCATGTCTGGTTATTTAAAACGCAATAAAAATCGCATTAATTTGCGCTTACTGTCACTCAGTATATCAATTTGAATCAGCAAGATTTTCATGATCAACAAAACCCACTTGCAAAAACTTCTGACCCTAATAATTTTACAATTGTTTTATACATGCGTGGATTTTACAAACCTTAGTAAAATATCTCTTGACTAAAATTAATAGCAAATTTTTTTGACAGATGACGAAAAACTAAAACATTTTTTTACACAATTCTCGAAAATTATATTCGATAAGTTGATTAAAACAAAATAAAATTTACAAATTTTGAGATATTTCATAAAGATCCCTTTAAATATATTTCGAGACTTGAGAAAACATTTTTTCAAGGTCTCGATACTCAAAACGTGTCATTATTATAGTTCCACTATTTATTGTTTGATTCAACTTCAAAAGTGGTATCTTCGCCCTATCATGAGCACAATATATTCCACGTTTATCAGTCTCAATGAAAACAAAGTTTCTTTGCGTTCGGTTAAGCCCATTTAAATCTAGTACTTTTAGCCGTGAATATTAACAAAATTGCTAGGAACTGTTCAAGTACAAAGGCATAACAAATTTTGGTCCGAATGGGGACCTGTAATTAATTCCAACATCCAGAAAAACTTTGTTTGGTAGCGCTAAATTACATAGATATAATCTACCGTTGTCTGCACAATGAGACAGAGGTAACGCTGAAACGAGACTGTACTTGCTGACAATACCTGGCGTACCAGTAGCAGGAGGTTCAATGGCTAATACAGACGCGCGATTATTGTTCGCCCACTTAGCAACAGCAGGTATACTTCGAGGTGATTTCTCTTCGTATAGTGCGAGAATAATAAGATCTACTGCACTCGGTAATTTCTTTACATCTACTTCGACTCGATTCCCCGTGTAACGGTACAGCGAAAGTTCTTGCAGCAGGAAGATATCTTCTGAGCTCTCAACATAAACAATGGTTTTGACACCATGCGATGAAAGTTGTCGAGCACAGTTTATACCTGCAGCACCTGATCTGTGAGGTCCACAAAGTGCTACGACCGTAGGCCACTGATGCGCATTATGAGGGCTCAATCGATGGGCTCCTCCTAAAAGTTGTAGACTGATTTCTGTACCAGCTCGACCGAGTAATTCCACCTATAGACAAAAATAATTTTTTTAGAAAATAAAATTCTTTTCAGAGTATAGATGAAATTTTTATTTTAAGGTTTGTATATAAGTTAATAATTACTCTGCGTTCCCAGCTGATTCCAAATCTATCGGCAGCTCCAATAAGTTGTCGATGAAGTTCTAAGGAAACACTAGGAATAATTAGACCATCATCTGTTACGTACTCTTTGGACCCTGCACACGGAACTGCAATTTGCCTGAGTGCTGTTGGTTCTGACTCGATGACATTTTCATCGTGTCTGTATCTGCCTTTGTTAATGCCTTTATTAGCCTGCTGTTGAACGGTTTCTGGTTTTTTAGAATTGAATTCTTGCCACAAAGCCTGAAATCAATTTATTATTTTAAATTGCAATGTACTAAAAATTATATTTTTTGAAACTTACTTCTTTATTAAATAAAGCTAAATTTTTTTCAAAATCAAAATCTTGGTGTAACGATTGATCAATTGGAGTACCAAAAGTATTTTCATCTCTGTCAGTCATTTTCTTTCTTCTTGATTGTTCTACAATATTTTCCATAATACTCATTTAAAAATACAATAAATATAACATAAAATAAATGTTTCAATGTTTTTATATACCTGAACCATTTTTCCCATTTGCATTTGATGTTGCTTCACTGTAAGTAGAATTATCAACTGGTGGTTTTTTTGCAATGTTTACTTGTTGTTCTGGCGCAGATGGTACAGCATTTTTACTAGCTTTTTTTGGAATTGGCCTCTTAACTGTAACTTTACTTTGAGCTGGTATAGCATTTTGTGGCGTACTTTTTTCATCGACGGAGACAATATCAACATTTATGATGTCTTTAGCCCTATAATTTGAACATTGTAACAAAACACAAACTTGTATAATAGCAAAAAATTTTGATGAATATGAAGAACCTTATAGTAACACGAGGTGAATCACATGGAACGCCATTACAAAAGGCTTTGGCAAGAGTGACAATCTGATCATTTAGAGCAATAATTTGGCCTTGATAGCTACTGTTCCCCAAGTCTTCAGTACACTTGATGGACACGGTGCATCCCAAAAATTGTTCAGACATCCTGAATTCTAAACCTAAAATACTAAGCAAAACATAGCTATAGACTTCTTATGTACAAGTAAAAGGATATTCTGAAAAACTCCAATTATTCATGTCCAGAATTGACCGATACGCAAAACACTACCTCGTTTGGCTCAACAATGAATGATCCCAGCTGCAGCAGCTGACGAGATGCTGCGCTGCGTCGCAAAACAACAACAACAACAATCGCAGATAAGAGCGAATTGCGGTTATTAACGGGCAGCTACAGTCCGAGATTCAAACTTATTATATCGGAGCAGCTTGAACGTTGACGTCTCGGACGCTTTATCCAGCCTCGCGCGTTATACACGACCTCTTGGACGAAATAATGTAATCTCGCGCGGAGAGAAAAAAAGGCGAGGAAAAAGCGAGTTGAAAAGCTCGCCTTGGGAATATATCGTGAAAAACGGACGACGTATGTATGGTGTACGCCGTAAACACTAATGTTGTTTATATCCAGCTGCACACACTAGTGGCTGCTATATTGTAATTTTCATGCAGAGCGAGAGATATATGAGCTCACTAACACGCACGCAGTGCCGCGGGACTCACGCACTACATCTACGTTCACGCATACACATTCATCATGGCTTATTGGCGCCCCGCGCGAAACGTTTACAAAGCTTCTTGTGCGGCGGTGGGTAAGTTCGCGTTTTGCGCGAAACGGCTCGAGTTCCGCGACCGTCGCAATTGTACGAAGCTCGTTTCGGTGACCAACGGGGGTAATTAGTTGTTTGTGTCAACATAGTTCGACGGAATCTTCCGCGACTCCGAATTATTTCGAAGAAAATCGGTACCTTCCATTCTCAATATTTGACTTTTTGCGGCGACATTTCAAGTTCAAAAGCAATATCGTCTCTGTTTTTATTTGTCGAAAATTAGTGCGTAACAGTTAGTTACTTTGGACTCATTTTCAATTACTGTTTCGTCATGTTTAAAGAAAAACCAACACGATTTTTTAAATGATTTTTTATATAAGAAGATCACAAGACAACGCCGATTTGCGCGTGGCACCATAGTTCATAAACTTGTTCTTTTTATTCATACTTTTACTAGTCATTTTATAATCCGAGAGATAAAAAGATAAGCGATTTAACGATATCTCTTCAATTTCACGTATAAATGTAAACAAAACGATGATTGACAATTTTATAAATGCGACATTGTAATGTAAGATTAATTACCATGAATAAAAATGTTCAAGTTACATCATTTTTTATATTAAAGTACACATAGACATTCGATCGTATTACTCCCCCTAATTGGGATTTGCATTCTTGCTTTGTATTGGATGGCAGATATTCTCGTAGAATTAACTGCTGAACGATTCAAGGCGAAATACCGATTTTTTTTGACTCGGCTAATTTTGACGCGTAAATAATAGCGCAATCTTAATTGCCCGGGAAAAAATACATTATTTATAAAAAGAAAGAACTTCTGCTTGCAGCGTTGATCATACCACTCTTTGGGCAAGGTCGAATGAAAAATGTTTGTTATTATGTCAGTGCCGAGGCGCTCGTGTGAGAAGCTCGAAAGATGCGCCTTTCACCTTGGCATTTCACATTGAAATTTTCTACGTATAGACCGTGACGACGCCGGAAACATTTCGATCTTATATTTTATTGTTAATCGTTGGTACGAAAAAAAGGACAGATGCAAAATATTATAAGCGCCGCATCGGTATGCGGCGCGTTTATTTACGGATTCGTAAAACCCATTTGTTACTTTTTTTTTCATTTGTTTGTCTCGTTCTCTATGATAATGAGCCTGCGCGTCGCTTTTTATACATTATATTATATATTAATATTATTGTTATGTATTATGCACGTGCACGCGCGTGCGTCCTTTTCTTGAATAATGAAGAAATTAACCATGCGAGGTCTATATAAAGCCCGAGGAAGAGATCCTGATTCGTACCAGTTGACGCTCAGATTTACTCCCGAGAAGTGATAGTTAACTCTATAATTCGACATGTTTGTGTTAGGGGTAAGTCGATAGAATCAAATAATTTTCAATGGCTGAAAGAAATTTAATTTGAAAAATATAAGCAGATACTCCTGTTGGCGGTTTCGACGTCGTTGGCTGCCCCGAGCGTCTACTCGGCACAGGCACAGTCCTACTACCAGAGCGACGAGCCGCACGTCCAGCACGGGCAGAAGCCTCTGGAGCAATATCTCAAGCAGCAGCAGAAAGTCGCCAGACACGCATTGGTAGTCGACTCCGGCCTCCAGCTGCACAATCAACCTAATATTTTCTTCGACGGTTCGAGTGAGTATTACACAATTTATCATTGACATTCGAAATTGATATAATACACACCTACCCAGCAGGCGAACCGGCGTATCATCGTAGCTACGTCCAACAGCCGGCCGCGACACAAACCACCGTTGACGACTCCGACGTCGTGGAAGCTGCCGAATTCGGCGCTGCACCCCCGAACCCCGAACGAGGAGAGCCCGTGGTCGCCCAAAGCAAGTACGCCAAAGCTCGGATCAACGATCAGGAGACCGACGTCGATTTTACCAGCGGCTTCGTCAACAATTGGAGCTCCGACTTGGGCATACAGGTGAGCGAGCAGGGCCAGCTGACGCACATCGGCGAGTCCGACGTGGTCGTGTCGCAGGGTCAGCTGTCCCACGTCGACGACGACGGTCACCGCTACTCGCTCAAGTACACGGCCGATCAGAACGGCTTCCGCGTCGAGGGCGATCATCTGCCGACTCCGCCGCCCATACCGATCGGCATCCTCAGAGGCCTCGAGTATCAGAAGAGCCATCCCTGGGTCGAGCCCAGCAGCACCACGGAGGCAGTAGTGGTACGGTCAACCATAACATCAATTAATTTCTCACAGATCGCAGGTGAATGATTTATATAATTAATGTTTCAGGAGGGTCAATATGTTGAAGCTTACAACTGATCTTGACAAAATTTTTACATTTCTTACCGTGCAATGTTGAAACATTTGAAAAAAATTGTTAATAAAATTATATTTTTTACCTCTAGAATATAGATCATCTCGATTTTTATTTCTATATTTAACCCCTGAATTTTGCACAGCCACGTAACGGTAGTCAGAGTTTCTATTCTGTGACCATGGTGAAAGGAAATAAATTTAGAAATAAAAAAACTAACATATTGCTACCGAAAATCGTTTGAGAGGGTGTTATCGATATTTTTCCATTTTTCGACTATTTTACTTTACTAGTATGAAAAAGAGCTTGTTTCTAAAAAATACATGTTATAGTGCATGATTTCAAGAATATTCTGTAAAAAATTCATCAAAACGATTTAAAAGTATCGATAGGACCATAATCGCTCCCCCCCCCCTTTCCCATCTCTTTTAAAATCTCTTTTAAAATAGGCATCTATAATAACAGCTGCAAATTTTGAAATTTCTTTATGATGTTTTCAATTAAAACTGACAAAAATTTAATCAATCAAAACAATGAAATTCAAAAAATTATTGAATAAATTTTTTTTTAATTTATTTGAATTTTATACAAAATTTGATAAAAGCAAAAAATACTGCTAATTCGATTACTCTTTTTTCACAGGTTATTTCCTTATACGAATTTTCTCTTCAATAATCTTATGAAGTTACTATTAGTTATGTTCTGCGTCTATGTGTATTTTGAGATGATTCTTGGTTGATAATGTCTTTCCGCAAATATCACATGAGCGGGTAATCTCATTGTGCACCGAATCGATGTGGATTTTGAGATTATCTTTTTGTGTGAATTTCTTTGGGCAAAAATTGCATGTGTGTTTGACACTCTTGTGCATCGTGTCGATGTGAAGTTTGAGACTACTTTTATTTGCAAGTTTTTTTCCGCATATGTCACAAGAGTGGGTAACACCATTATGTACCATATCGATGTAGATTTTGAGATGACTTTTATGTAAAAATGTCTTTCTGCATAAAACACATGCATGGGTAATTTTTTTATGCACCGAATCATTGTGTAGTTTGAGATTACTTTTTTGTAAATGTCTTTTCGCATATTCGACATGCATGGGTAGTACATTATGCACTGTGCCAATGTAATTTTTGGAGTTATTTTGGTTGTTAAACTTTTTTGTAATTCTTCTTTTTTTATTTTGTTCGATAAATTTACGGTCAAAATTCAAATTTAATTCTTCTGTTGTGCCACCAAAAATGTTCTGTTTTACTTCACCCACGATTTCTATTTTAGTAGTGTTTTGAATTTCATAACAACCACTATCTTTCATATTCTTCAAGTGATATCATCGTCAATTTTTTCAATTTTCGACAAATCTCCACTTTCACATGCTTTACATTTTCACATTCAAACATTATTTCCAATTTTCTGTTAAGTTCAAGTGTAATGTTACATTTTTGAATGGTCTGTCGAAAAACGTGAGAATTGTTCTTAAAAAAACAATTCCAGTACGAGTTACATATAATTATCAATACTTACAAAATTTTCTCGTTGGAAAAGATAAAAGTTGAATGTTTTTAAGATCGGGTTTCTCGTCAATTTTTTCACTATTATTTTCATTAAATGACTCATCACTGGGCTCCTCATTCACTCTGAAATCACCCCAATCGTATCAAGTATTTTGTTATAAAATTGTTGTAAATTCAATCTCATAAAATGAAAATTACCTGACAGCACAATTAAGTATATCAATGAATTCCATCTTTCGTGAATTTCGTCAACATTCAATGTTTTTGTGGTGATCGAGTTGACTATACGAAAAAAATGACGAAGGACACGGATCTGTACTCGTTCTATTGTTTACGTTGAATGTTATGAATGTATGACCTCTTCATCACGCGGTGTTGCCCGGTGGGCGGCTCGCGGTGTTTTGACGTACATCGGGTACACTGTATATACATGCCGTATTGGCTGTGTGCGTAACCCGTAGCGCCCCCAGTTTATAAGCATATTTAGCATATTTGGGCATTTGGCTGCTATCCCGACCATCCACGTGAACATCACGAATACGAGCACAGCAATGTGCAATTCGCCATGACTGTATATACTTGCATATAGAATTTAAATTGAATTTAATCATATATTTATAAATCATGTTACGAAGTTTAGAAGTTATCAGTGTAAACGAAAAAAATCTAAGTCATTATAATATCATTGAAGAAATTACTTCATGTATCTTATGTCTAATCAATAATAATAAACATTTTTCTATAAATGATATATTATTACGGAAATATGAAAAAATGATTTTTTGACCGACAATGAGCTAGCAACTATAATTTCGAATGACTTGAAATGAACTAGATTTTTCGTCGATATTTCGCTCCGATAGTATCAAATGCATAATGAACCATCGTGCCCGCGTGCTGCAATTGCAGTAGGCCCGTCCGTTGTCAGTAACTGCGCAGCAGTGTATCGACGCGCCTGGTCTGTCCGTAGCAGACGACTTTGTCAAGTGTCAGTCGAACAACTATAATCATAACCTCTACGGCAGGTACTACATAATATCTCTTAGTTTTTACCTTCTAAATCCTTTAGTTTTCCTCTTCCACCCATTGTTTAGACCTTGTATCGTAAATTTTATTTTTAATTTTTTATGTCACATTTACTTGTCGATAATGAACGATCTCGAAGACAGCGGCGAATTTCAAGTCGTAAAGCACAGCTCGCGTAATAAAAGACGTAACAATCGACCGAGAGTTAATAGCAAATTTGTAGCAGACAATAAGGTCGTGGACAACAATGTACCAGTCGAGGAAATTTTCGAAAAAGTGCAAGCTGCCTCTCAGAAATTTCACGAATCTCCATTTCGTCAAACGCTGCTTTACGAGTTGAATAAAGCTCTGAGACAGTTGGACTCGAAAGGCATTATTGACATTGTTTGTTATGGTTTGGGTAACTTTTCCGAGTTCAATTGCCCCAAATATCAATTAGCTGCATTGCTGACTGTTAAATCAACTTATTCGGCGAATGTTTTTGTTTACGATCCGCTCTTTACTAACAATGAAAGTCAGTGCCTCAAGTTATTGAATCTGAATGTCATTGAAAACAATGAGGAAGGAAAAAGACTGATACAGAATCATACCACCCTAGTGTTCATGCCTCATTGTTCCAAACAGTTAATCAATAATTTCTTGTACACCAATTGGTCACCTCTAATAAAGAATTGTATTTTATTAGGTAACAGTTGGTCAGATATAGAGTGCCATACAACGGATGCTCTGTTTCAACAAACTATACATTATATGTATAAATTGAAACCCTATGTAACAGAAATTAAACTGCAGAACAACTTTCAATATCCAAACACCTTCAGCGGTACATCTATTCATATTTTTACTAAAGAGCAATTAGATAAAATTCCAAGTGATTTTTGGAACAAAAAACCAGAATTGTCAAGGGACTACAACGATCAAGAATTCATTGCAGCTCGACAAATAGTTTGTACAGAAGCATCACAATGAATCCAAATGTTACTTTATTGCGTCATCTGGCACATGAAATTCGTCATACTACATCAACAAAAGCTGTAAAAAATAATATGTTAATGAACTATATTGTTGAACAAAGCCGCTCACATAAACCAACAACAGAAGTTCTATGCAAAACTAAGGAGGAGCTGCATAATTTAGGACAAAATTACTTGTGCTATCTCAATTCTCTGAGAAAATATAATGAAATAAACACATACTATAATTCAAAGGGAGAGCGCAGTATTAAAGAAACTGCAAATCTTGTTGGATTTAAGCTTCCTCATGATCCACGTTAAAAATGTTAAGATTGTTTATTAGGTAGTTATACGTATTATATGTAATAAATTTTTGACCAAAGCAGACTGCATTGTTTTTATTTTTGAAACTATTTAAAACTGTACAAAAATCCCACAATCTTTTCTCCCATTGAATCTTTCTACTTTGCTGTTTAAAAAGTTTAATAAGTTAAGATTTGTTTTTACATAATCTTGAATATCTTTTCACAGACTTGAAACCATCTTATACATAAACATGGATTGCAATGTATCTAATGTAAACATAGAAACAAACAAAATAGTAGAATTTTGTTATAATTTACCTAAAATTGTAAGTAAAAATTTTACAAAAGATTTTGATCTCATTTTTTATCTATTAATTATTTCTGTACATGCATTTTTTACTTAAGGAATTACATGCTCATTTGAATGGTTCTCTTAGTAAAGAAACCTTGATGAAGTTATATAAACTGAAACACTCAGTTGAGAATGATAAAAGTGAATTTTTTGACTTCAATAAATGTGCAACTATATCAGAGTAAGACTTACTACTTTAGTTCATGTGCCTACCATAATTCTGATTCACTTTGAATTTTTTTTCAACAGAATATTTGAGGTTTTCAATTTTGCTTACTCAGTGACAACTTCTCAAGAAGCCATTTACACAGCTACTTATGATACAATAAAAGAATTTCATGCAGATAATGTTGTATATTTAGAATTACGAACTACACCCCGAATAGAAAGTGGAATGTCAAAAAGAGAATATTTATTAGCAGTTTTGAAAGCTATCAAGTAACAAGATAATATTATTATACCTTTATTTCATCTTATACCTTTATTACAAAACGATCTTGAATGATTGATTTTTTATATTTACAGAGATTGTCAAGATGAGGGTTTGGAGATCATAGTGAAACTTTTAGTATCTATCAATCGTAAGCGAGCAGTCCGAGAAGCCAGAGAAAATATTCAATTGGCTATTGAAATGAGCAAAGAGTATAATCAAATTGTTGGAATTGATTTGAGTGGAGATCCAACAAAAGGAGATGCCTTCATAGATCTTCTTAATCAAGCGAGACAAGCTAATTTAAAAATTGCAGCTCATTGCGCAGAGGTAATGAAAAAATGTTAAATTAAAACTTTAATAAAACTAAAAGCAATTCCATTCCAGGTTGCAAATGAAAACGAAACAATTGATATTTTAAGTTTTAAACCTGACAGACTAGGTCATGGCACTTGTATTCATCCAAATTTGAATGGATCAGAGACACTTTACAATGCATTGCTTAAATCAGAAATTCCAGTTGGTAATGAAACATTTTTTCCTGTACTCATAAAAATATTTAAGATTGTAGCATATTAAAAAATTGAGTTATCTTTCAGAATTGTGTTTGACTTCCAATGTCAAATGTAAAACGGTTCCGAATTTCAAATCTCATCATTTCAAGTACTTATATGATTCAAAGCATCCAATTTGCATATGTGTAAGTTATTTATTTACTATTTTTGAAGTTTACAAAAGTATAACTATCATATTTTTTTATTAGACTGATGATAAAGGAGTTTTTGATACCACCTTGAGCCAAGAGATAGCATTATTAATGGAGCACTTTAATTTAAACAACAGCGATGTCAAAAATTTGATGTTATCAACAGTGAAATACACATTTGCTGATGATAATGAAAAAAGTAAATTACTAAAAATAATTACTGATTTCGATGCTAGTGCATAATAGGGTTTCATTCAATTTAGAAAGTCAGTTCAAAGATTATGTTTCAATAAAAAACATACAATTTTGAATACTGATTTGATTTATTATCCAATCTTATTATGTTTTATTGATTATCTTATTATCAACAGGTTAACTACAGGGCGAGTCTTTTACAAAATATAAAAATTAATTAAACTTACAAACATTTTCTAATAAACTAAAACTAAATAGTAACACTTGATTTTCTGCTTCTTATAATAAATCCACTGCTTCTACCTTTCCTTTTAACTTTCATCTTGCATACAAAAGTTTTACTCAATAATTTTTTTGACAAGTCGAAAAATGTTCATTAATTTGCAAAAGTTACTGTTATAAGATAGCCTGTTGAATAAAATTAAAATAACATTCGGATACAACAGTTCCAAAAATTTATTTTCATTACTTTACAAAATATGAAGGTTACTTATATTTTATCCACACATACTTGAATAAATTATAGCTAAAAAATTGATATGCACTTCAAAACAAGTAGTCGGAACGCGATGAAAAGTACTTAGAGAAAAACTATCACATATAGAAAAATTAAATATACTTCTATAATGCAATATATTGCTTTTTGATCACATAAGACAAGCATGCTTATTTTATTGAATTTTTGCACTTAGATTAATGATCTAAAGAAAAAATAAATAAAATATCGCCTTTATTTACAAAAAAAATTTCAATAGACCTTATAAAAGTAATAACTACTTAAACTGTTGTATGCATTATCTTATTCCGATAATTTTTTAAATCTAAAATTGCATATTCTATAGTTCATTGAGTAATTTCATGATTAGATTTTTATATATTTACTTTTCAAATAAAGCATTTCGATCCATGTAAAATTTAATTTACAATTGATTTTTAGTACATTCGATGTCAAGCATGTGAATCTTAAACTAATAGTTGTAATAATGCGGGAACAAAACAATCATTCAGTTTGTTAATGAAAAATTCTTTAAAAATTTATTTTATTTAATTTTTCGACTACATATGAACATTAAGATGCAAAATATAGTGCAAAGTTATCATAACATTTAATTGTTTTGAAATATTTGATTTAGTTTTGAGATTTTTAAATATTTTATATGATTAGAGCGTTTCCAATATGCATCAATATTAATAAGATCGATACAATTTGATGTAGATAGATAAATTAAAATTTACTTTATAAATAATCATTAGTCGTAATCTATTTGGATCTATGACATTCATGATAATATTCTTCAGACTAAATTTAAGACACACACTTAATTACAAAACAAAAAAGAATAAGTTTTGCATTTTATCGTAGGTTTTTACCCTATGATAACAAAACTGTTCATATCTTTTTTGTCTCTCAACTTAATATTATGTCTTGTATGAATATTTTTCGATATATACGTCTAGAACATTCATAATTAAGATAAATTTGTATAGTAGTGCGAGTGAAATGAATTCATGTTTGCACCCATATTGTAAACTAATTTTTTAATCTGCGTGCTTAGTTTGAAATCGTAGTCGCATACTATGTACAAACTTTTTGTGAAAATGCATACTGATATGAAATTAAATAATTAAATAGACCTATTCTTGTTTATGTACATAATTTACAAAAAAAGCAAGCAATGTCTAAGAGACTTTTTGAAGTCAACATGGCAGCCTTTCCTACTATTAAAGCTAAAATATATAATAAGTATGATAGATTTTGTATGATTTAAGAAACTCATTTCCAAATGGTTAAATCTTAAAAATCTTTATTTCGCGCCTTTTCCAATAAAACGTTTTTAAGTTTCTAAAAAAATCATTTACATCTTTGTTAAATAAAAGTGTAAAATATTTGGTGGCTATACAATTTTTCTTTTCCATTCAAAGAAACTTATAAATAAAAAAGTTGTTCAGTTGGTCAATTAAATAAACAAATAAATAGACTGATTTGATCAGTTATAGTGTTGAACTATTTCAGTCAACCAAATTTTTAAAAATTTCTTTTTTGGTTTTAGTTTAGAATAGTCGTTGTTATAAAAATTTTAAACAAATATTGAAAATGATCCTCCTTTCCTTAACTTAACTTTCGAATGAGGCTAAGGCATTTTAAAAAATTCTTATAAAATGTCAGCTAATCATTCAAACGGATTTCCTAGAAAAAATTTCCTAGATGATTGAAATATTCACTTTGATTTGTGAAATTCCAGCATAATTTTGAAGCATAAAATAGATAAGATCGATCAACTAAAATGTTCATTTTACTGCGCATAGAGCACATAGGCGCGCGCAGTTACACAGATGTAATGCATAATATAAAACTCCTTATGCAATAAAATAAACTTAATAATAATCATATACATACAAAATTAAGTATAAAAAAGTTATCAACGTATTTAAACATGTCAACTAAATCGTCTTTTATCGCATTTACGTTACTATGGGCTTTTCTCCGACTATGTACAACGATCCTTACGAGTAAATAATTCGAAACAACTAATTATATGAGATGTATTATGCGTCGAATTAATTTTCTGCGCTCTCCTTATCCCCGGCAGGATCTTCGTTGCTGCTATCCTCGTCGTCGTGATTGACTTTTTTCTTATCTACCGATTCGGCGGGATAGAGTACACCCGAGTACATAACGCCGTTAATTTCCATGTTGATTGACATAGACTTTTTGTTCGATCGATCTGAAAATGGAAAGAAAAAATACTTCAGTACAAGCTGCGAAAGCAGGGTTTTGTGATTTTTTTTCATCTTCGCCATCGAACCCTCGTGACACGTACCTTTGCAGCGAACGACGCACTGTTTCTTGGGCGTCTGGTTGACCAGCTCCTCCTCGGGTTCGCGCTCTCGTTTCGTCACGGGCTTGGGGCTGCGCGCTACGGGCGACGATGACGTCGAAGTTCTCACACCCAAATCCAGAGCCTCTTGCTGCTCTTGCTCGCCGACCGACTCCATGGAGCGCAGAGGCGGAGACGTGGTGTTGACGCGCGACGGCGGCGGGGGCGACGACGAGGCTACTCCGGCGGCGCTCAACTGATTCAAGCCTATGGCCGCGGCCGCGGCGGCCGACACTGCCGGGTGCATGTTGTTATTGTAGATGGTGTTCCAGAGCGAGTGGATCCTCGACATCTCAAGTAGCTCGAGGCCGTTGCGCGTTGGCGACAATTTTGCGGCCATACTCTGACTGGCCACTGCGGCAGCGGCAGCCATCAGATCCGCCGGTTGGCCGTGCTGGCCGTTCATCTCGCGTTGCAAACTCCTGAAGTACTCGCTCATTTGCTCGATATTCGCGCCTGCAATAATGAAACACAAAAGTTAGCTTTCAAGATCGTCTCTTGTACATATTTATAGTACTATATCTAGTTCGTGTTTCCCCAAGGGTTTGGGTACATTTTAAAAAAAATTTTTTTTATAAATTTTTTTTTTATAATCCATTTTTTATAAATCCAAATTCTATAATCTTATAATGTTACCAATATTTTTATTTAGCAAATCATAATGCGCAAATGATTGTAATTGAATAAGATTAATAAAGTTAACCGAAGGGGTATCTTTAAGCTCAGTACGTAATACTTGTGCGGGCGGTGCTTCGGGATGAGCTTTCACCAATTGTAAATTCTCTGGACCACCGCTGGTCACAGCTCGGGCACTACACTGACGGGTCTTTTTACAAAGCCATTACGCTCGTTGTCCTATAGTTCCCATGGTTTTACAATACAAAAAACCTGCTAAGGATAGAGGATAACTGGAACGTCGGGATTTCACCAACTCGGCCATGATATGTATTAAAACCGTTACTTTGTTGCCTATCGAAGACGTTATGATGTATAGTTATTAAATTCTGTTCACGAATCTGATCGGATCAGCTCTGCTGTATATACATATGTTGACAAATAAGTCGGTGAGCTTGGTGTATACATACGTTGCATACGTGTAAATTTATATTTAGAAATTAATTTTATTATGAAAAACGGTATTATAAATAAATGTTTTTATAAAAATAGGTATTATAAAAAATGGATTATAAAAATTTGAATTTATAAGAAAAATTTTATAAAAAATGTCCCCCCACCTTCCCCAAGGGCTATTGGCACGAATAGCAAAACGTAGGACGTACATAGACGAAGCGAGGCAAGGAGAGTAAGAAAAATGAAGGCAGACTCGGGTGCGCAATGTGTGTGTGTGCGTGTGCGGTTGCAGAAGAAAAGCGGCAATCGGAATGCTCGTTAGCGCTCGAGTCATCCGTTAACGCCTGTCGGCCACCCAACAGCGCATCTCGCGCCGATCAATTATCATTCCCTAGCTCACCCCATACACAGTTCCTTGCTCCTATTTTATTTCACGGTGCGCAACGCGTGCAAATACACGAAAAGTAAAAGAGTAAAAAAAGAACGCAAAAAAAGGATCGTCGAAAGAAAGAGTAAGAAGAAGAAAAACTTACTGGACGCTGCGCCACCACCGAGCTGCAAGCTCGCCGCCGCCGCGGCGTTCTGTTGCTGCTGTTGCTGCTGCTGCAGCTGTTGCGAGTAATGATTCAATTGGGCCTGCGAGATGCCGTTCATGCCACTGGGTCCGGCCGATTGGCCGACTCCGGAGCCCGCGACGAGCTGCAGAGGCGCCAGATTGCTCGGCAGCGACATGGGATTAGAGGCGCCGTTCATGGCCGCCCTCGACATGATCTCGGGGGTGAGCTCGCGATGATTGCTGTAGGTCGTCCTGCGGCCCTCGCGCTTGTTGCCGTCTATGGCCACGGTTAGCTGGTCCGGCGTCGACAGATTCAGCTTGTCGCACTCGTACGCGTACAAGTACTTCATGTATCTGTAAGAGTAAAGAAGAAAAATAACGTTAACGTTTGTAAGGTATGTGTACGAATAACTGACATTGTACGTTGATGTATGTATATAAATAAATCGAGCAAGCTGGTCACCGATCAGCCGTTTGACGAGAGAAACTAAATAAAGATCCAACGGACACTTGAAGCGTCGCCATGTGAGATTATCATTCTTACGATCAGCAACCATACAGTTAAAAACAAAAGAATAGAACAATCACGTTATAGTATAAGTTCATCGTTCGATCGTAAAAGAGTTGCCAAATCTCAGCCGCCCGCTGCTGCTCGCGGCTTCGAAAGAGGGTTTAATTAAAGTTAGCCCCCCTCTCGCGTATACCCCCTTTAGTCGCGCGTACATGCGCGCATTCACAAGTATGTGTATTGGTGAATTTTACACGCACGCCAAGTGTGCGCTATATGCGGACATAAAAAAAGCGGGCGCAGAAGAGAGCCGAGCCGAGCGCGCGGCCCAGACAAGACAATCGTAAAAAAGCGAAACGACGCGAAGTTTCGAATTATAGGTCTTCGCGTTGTGTTGTGTTGTGTGTGCCCCGGCGTAAGATGATGTGTGGGGCAATACAAGCGATGCACGCCAGATATCGACGTATGTATGTGTATACGGCGCGGGGAGGTTATTATTCATTTTATATCGTGCTAAAAAATATATTCTCGGCAGCGCGAACTCTCGTCTTTATATTATTATTAATAATAATCTATATGTACTGCGTGGCGATCGAAAGCTTCGGGCGGAAGGCGGCAACGTCGTACCAGCTGTTATTGTTGCCCAGGATATGAACTTTTCGATGGTATATTTATAACGGTTGAAGGACGGATGATCTTCAGACACGAAATTTTTACCTTCGACTGCTCTGCGGCGACTTTTTTACGACTTTTCGCTCGCTCCTCGTCGTCGTCTTCGTTTTATTTTCTCTCCCACTCTCTGTCTCGCTTTTTCTCTTCCGACATCGGTAATTTGTCCGGGAGAATTAAATTTATCAATATTATACGAAAATTGATAGAGGGTCTATCATTATATTTTTTTCTTTAAATCGTCCGAAAAATGCCGGAGTAAAAAATTTAAATCATTTCTCGGAATTTTGGTATATGCATGGCCAAAGATCAAACATATCTCGAGTGAAAAAAGGAGATAGGGAGAGAGAGAGAGAAAGAGAGAGTTACTTTGAGTATACTCGTCGCGAAGCAATAAGATAATATTGAGTTTTTCGTCGTCCACGTCAAAAGCAGGTGAAATACGCTATATACACTCGTATACGTTCGATCGAAATCATCCCGAGGACTAAAAGCTTGAAAATTTCACGCAAGTCAAACAAAAGATCTGTCGAAATGTACGAAACAACGCGCGACTGCGCAAAACAAACGAAAGGGACCTTCTCATCTCGTCTCATTTCTCTCGCTCGTATATTGTACGCATGCAGGTTTATTTTTGCGAGAGATGAAAGTGACAAGGGCCGCTGCTGCTGGCTCTAAAGGGTTCCTCTTTTTCATATACGTATTTTTTTGTTGAGTTGGAAGAGCTCTGCTATTTGCTCGTACTTATCAAGTACCTGCAGTGTGTCTTATATACGCCTTTTTATGTTTTATTTTTATTTTTATATTAAGAAAAGAAAGGGACGATTTTGTCCTTTTTTTCTGGAAACGAGAGTGGCAGGAGGCGAGAGAGCGAAAAAGAGAGAAGTTTTGCAAAAGAACAAACGCGCCGACAATCGCCGATATCTACGCGCTTACATGTATAAAACGAAAATAATAATAAACTAATAAGTACAGTTGTATAATAAAATCCGTGAGGAGGAAGTGCAGAAGTTCTCTCTATTTGAGGAAGAAAATCGATATCGACGTTGATGGAGGCTGCTGCTGCGATGCCTCTCTTACCGCAATGTTCGGCGAAGCACGACAATAATTATCCACGGGGCCGTACTGTGTCCGATATAAAAGCAGTGGCGGTGGCGGGCCGCATTCACGGAATAAAGCGTAATATTATCTACATTATATTGGCTACTCACTGGGTGCGGAGCGTGAACGCCGCCGAGGTTATCGACGCGGGCAAGTGCAGTCCTTTGATGATCTCCTGCCACAGCTTTTTGTTGATCACGTCGACCAGTCCACCCCGAGCTACGACGAGATTGTACAGCTCGTAGAGATCGAGCACGTGCTTGGCCATGATCGGTAATCGATTGATCGGTGTACCTGCAAACAGTAATGAAATAATTGAGTTAAATACGTGTATCGATTGACCACTCCTAGTAAGTGTTGTTGTGTAATTATCGTAATATGTGCACATTTTTCGGATGCAATTTCGACGACGTTGACGAGCAGCGTTGCGACTCGCGAGTCCGAAGTATAATCCTTGAAAGAAACGGTCTACCTACACGCGAGTAGTTAGCTCATAAAATCACAAATTTACCGAATAAGGTCGCGTAGGAGAGAAAAAGAGAGTAAGACGAGAGACGAGACGAGATACGTCAAGTACGATGTATAAAATATATGGCCGGCCATTTTTTCTTCTCTCTCTCGCTCTCTCTCTCTCTCTCTCTCTGTCTCTCTTTCCGAGTGCACGTAGCACTCATATTATACATACAGCGAAGATACCGCACATGGACAATGTATATGGGTGGCGCGCGAGCAAACGAGTGGGGGAACCGGTAATTTTGGGCTATCAGGCGGCCCAGGTTTCATTACGTATTATATTCCGTACTTGCTATGTATAAGGTGTACGTACGATATGTGTGTGTGTGTGTGTGTATGTTGAATATATCCTCCACCATTGGAACGCGGCTGCGGCGGCGTCCGCCGCGGTAATTACGCCATGATATATGCTCCCCTTCTTATATACGCGATAAACCAACCACCAGCATCAAACCCGACTTGGCAGAGGGGAAAAATGGCGGAGGTTATTATATTATAACATATATAATATATCAAGAGGCTCGGGCTTGTTATATTTATATCTTCTTTCTTTCTTTTTTTCTTTTTTGTTGCCCTTTTTTTCGTGGGCCTATATGTGTACGCGCGCGCGCACAAGGCACACGAGAAAGAGAAAGATGTATTATAAAGATGTACTTGGATAATTACATAGGGGCAGATAATATTTTGTCTTACGCGAGACCTCTCGAAGCCATGAAGCTCGCCCAAGCATCGTGGTAGTATTTTACATTTATAATATTCATGAAAATTTGCGACGATGAAAATGTTGAAAATAAAAAACAACAACGGCCAACAATGCAGGTGCGATTTTTAGCCCGATTTTTTCTTTCTTTTTTATTCGTTTTTGTTTTCACCGCATTATTACTGTTTATATATATACGTACGTAAAATGCAGCGAAGTAAAAAAAAGAAAAAAAAACAACAACAACGACGATCATTCCGCACAAACCGTGTGCGAACCCGCGTGAATTTCTATTTATTTATAAAAAGGAGCGGCGGCAGATTTCAGGACGCGATTACGACTTTTCTCGTTAGGGCGTCCAATCAGCAGTTATTTTTTATAATAGCCTACTACCGCCACCGCGCGCCATGCCTCTATAGGTATATAATGTATACGAAGGCCTCCTCTCTTAGCGACGTTTCTCTCTCTCTTTTATTCTTTCGTGTGCCTTACGCGACGAATCGACGCCCTTTGCTTCTGATATTTAATATCGTAATTTTACCTCTCTCTCTACCTCTGAATTTTTTTCGTTCCGGACTTTGGCCAGTTCGCACGATCGATCGGCTGCAAAACGATTCAGAGAATCTAACGCAAGCGCCAATCGGCACGATTGACAATATAAAGTATATAATGTGTGTTGTGTGCATAAAGCTGCGCCTGCTCTAATTTTTACCTCATGAAATCCTTATATCGAGGAATACGAGAGAGGTGTGTCGGATTCTAATAAGCATTTAAACACATGCGAGCTGCCTCCGACCATATAGCTCGCGACCTCTTGGCTTCGCGCGCCTCGCCGTTTTATGCCTCTTCTATACGACTTTTCCTGGAATCTTTACTACTAGCGCACGTATTATCGAACCAACATCGATACTCCTTTATTTTATTTTTCCTTTTTTTTTGCGCTATTTCATCGTGTGCATACTTTTACGAAAGAAAAAAGGGATTACAAAGCCGTTTATAGGTACAATGCAACGTGTACGACTAATGCAGCTCGAGAGCTCTAGTTTTTTTTTGCACCTAACAATTTGATCGAAGTTAAATCGATACGAACCGAGGTTGAAATTAAACATTTCTCCGCGCGACCTCGGGCGAGAAAAAGAAAATCACTCGCTTTGCCTGTTCATTTTCTTTCTCTTTGTTTTTTTCAACTTATTTTATTTTACTTTTTTTTTAATATGCAATCCGTGCAGGCGCGACACACCGAAGGAAGTGCATTACTCGAGGGAGGGATCTCAAAGTCGTATAATACGGCGGCGGCGGTGAGAGCGCATGGGCACGCGTATTATATGTACATGCTGCAGTTATAGCAGGCAGGGTTAAATTGGCATGCAGGGGGGTGGAGTCGGCTCGCGCGAGAACGGCGTGAAATACACGCGACGTTTTTACTACTTTGCATGATTATTGCGTGCCTCTCGCGAGTTCTGTAGTTGTGTTTGTGTGTGTGTGCGCTGCGTTGGTGCTATTTAATATTAGCAAAACTTGCGCGCCGTTCTATACGTATATTCGCGCGAGTAATACAGTGTAAAATATAATCCCGTATACACACACATGCGAATATGTGGGAACTTTTTAATAATAGCGTGTCCCTCTCGCACGAATAAAAATTTCGATAAAAAAGTTATATATAAAGCTTCGAGGAAAGGCAGTTCTCTCTATGCATATAAAAGCGCGCAGCAACGGCAGCAGCAGCAGCAGCTCGATCGTATAATTGAAAACAGCAGAAAAAAAGTAGAATAAGAAAGAATGGAAAAAAAAAGAGTGAAGAAAAAATTCGCAATATCGAATAATGACGGCTTTCATAATTTCTGGAATTATCGCCAGCTCGGGACTTTTATGATCGTTGGGCTGCTGCTGCCGCCTGCATATAATATCGATCATCGATAAAGCAATTTCATTCTCTCGATTCCAGCGCGCATACAAAGTTTGCGTTTGTGTGTGGATGTATATTATTATTTGCGTCGAATTGATATAATACGTTTGTGCGGGCTGGGCCACGGTATACGCGGATTTAATAAGAATTACGAGGCGCGATCTCATCGAGAGTCGTAAAAGTCGTCAAAAAAGCCATGAAACATGCCACAACGCGCGTACGTATGCAGGCTACATTGTATAAGCTCGTCTCTCCACTCCCAGCCTCCACAACAGTGTTTCGTTTAATCGCCTTTCGATTCACTGCATTAAAATCATTGATCTACGATCGTTTATCAATCGCAAATATGAACTTCCAAAATCGAAACGCGCGCACGCGTCCGTGCCAAAGCCTATTCGGCTTCTTTTTATCCTATCCCATCCTCTGTATAGCTCATCCTGTTTCTTTCTCGCTTTTTTGCTCGCAGGAACCTCGTAAAACACGAATCGCGAACACGCACACACACGTATACACATATATATATATGCTCTCGAGCGTGTGTCTAGATTTTTTATGGTCTCGCGAGACAGTACGCGCATCTCATTCGAGTTGTATGTGTATATAAATGCACACGCGAAAAAATCGATTGGAGTTGGGCCAAAGAGGCGCGGGGCTAAACGCGTTGGCGTTGAAGACTTTTACGAGAAGTTATGTTCTGCTCGTTCAGCAGCAGCAGCAGCAACAACAACAGCAACAACAAAAAAAAGGATGAATTTCGCTGTTGGGCTCGTCTCATTCGAGAACCACACACGCATGCTCACACGCGCGCGCGTACGATTGTCGTCGTTTTGCTCTCGTCAAAGAGAGCCATGCGATCGCTCTTTGTGTTGCCTGCTGCTGCAGTTCTTCTCTGCAGCAGATTCTTATGCAGAGATAGATAAATATGAGATGATAATGTGCATTTCACGAGGTGAGACCGTGAGAACTGCGAGGGATTATCGCCTCTTAAGCGCTTAGACTTTTGCCTGAAATTTTTATGTAGCTATTCCGATGAAAAACAGAGACATAACGTGTCAAGCTCGCGTACATTATTAGGCGGAAAAAAATTTCTTTGCTGATCTGACAGTGGGATTTCGGTCTGATACAGATTTCCCCAAATTTTGCAAGTTCTTTCTGTTATTTACGCTCTGATGGAAATGTTTAATATAAATAATGGTCTAATTACAAAAATTGATCATTTAAAATGTATTATGGCACAATACCATTAATGGGCTTGTTTTCGGCAATTTTGTTAATAAAATTATGTTACAAATATTGAACGCCTTTAAATAGACTGAATAGCAATTGCTTTCAACACGATAATACCACTTTAAGTCTCTACCACGAGATGGCGAGTACCTACATATTAGTAAACCTGCAAGTAGCAAAGTAAAAATAAGTGTATATGAGTCAAAGCGCGATTTCGGAAAATATGATGTTTGTTTTGATGGCTATATAAAGTAAAAATTACTAAAATGTGTCGATGTCATCTCATTACTAGATATTATAATAACTTTTACTATGAATTCTAACAATATTTATTGTATTTTTTTCTTCGTGTTCGAATGTAGCATATAAATTTATTAGATGATACGCAACACGAACACCCACTATGCGAGAATATCATCCGATACCCCCCACTATGATACGTACACACATTGAATCGGCCGCCACTTGTTGCGCGTCGTACATATATATACAGTTACGCTCCTCCTGCTCGATCGAGCTTAATCGAGTCTGGCCGGAGCTTATCTCCTCTCGCGCGCGCGCTGCAATAGAAGCCGCAGCCGCGTGGAGGGGAATCGAAATCCCTCCGCCTACTCGAGTATTCCCCTTCGACTTCCTCTCCTCTTTATATCTACTTATATATCGCGCGGCTTCTCTCTCGTGTATGGCGCGCAGGTGCAAAGATATTGCGATGTGGTTATAGTGTTGAGAATCCAATGGACGTGTTGCAGTCGAGCGATCGATATGTAATATAGTAATCGGAGTCTGCGAGCTGCGTTGACTTTCTTTATTCTTACAGCTGTAACTCTATCATTAATACTCATTAATTAATTGATGCTCACACAACGATTGATGACCGAAAGTATAATAATTGAAAAATATTCAAAATGTCGATGAACGGATCACCGCTAGATGGCGAGTATCTTT